ATAACATTGAACTTACCTGTTCAGGAAAAAGTTTAGTTGTTTTTAAGTTAACAGTTATTTGCTGCGTTAATATTATCTGTTTGTTTGAGCTGAGATCAATGAATTGACAAATATTCATTTTTATCATTTACTTAGGCCTAGCATCATAACAGTTATATTTTAGCCAATCATTATTTAGTCTCCTTTTACTAGTAACAATTGGAATTTCTCATTTGAATAATATATTTCTATTAAACTATGGGCTAGAAATGACATGTTTATAAACTAGCTGGAGTAAACGTCCCCTGGAAGGGAAGTTATGTAAATTCATGATTAATGAAAGGTTATCTTAGAACATGAAAAATTGCTTCCCTTATATGTAATTGTAAAACAAAAACGCTCATAAAAACTGCAAAACACAACATGTGAAACCGCAAATTTGCATGTATTTCTGCATGGATCCAACAAACCTTCACGCCAAATTTGGTGAAGATCCATCAACAGGGGGCAAAATAGTGGTAAAAACGCAGAAACGCGCGCATAAAAACCGCAAAACACAAATTGCAGAACTGAAAATTTACATGTACCCCCGCATGGACCTAATAAACCTCCATACCAATCGGGGTGAAGATCCTTCCATACTCTTCGAAGTAGTTGCATGGACATACAACAGACAGTACTATTATATTTATTTAGATACGAGTTCTGTTTTTAAGCTTTGGCGAACCTTCTTCTGTTACAGCTAAACTGTGCTAAACAGCATGCTCGGCCTGAAATATTGGTATATTAACTGGTACTCGTTTACCTTCTCTGCTCTCCATGTTGCTGGCTATATTTTCCAACTAACATGTCAATAACTTCATAATTTACTGTTCGTCAATAAATACTACACTTTAATCTAAACGTCGTCTAAACTCAATAAAGTATTGCCTTCACTTTCCACTTAAGATTCTTTTCAGCAATAATTTTGTCCACGCCAATACAAGTATGATTTCTTTAGTGAATGTATGGTATATACCAAAGTCTAGTGAAATATTTCCTTTGTGACTCACGTTCTATTAAATATTCCTTTGAGACTCACGTTCTATTAAATATTCCTTTGAGACTCCCGTTCTATTAAATATTCCTTTGTCTACTAACACTATTAGTTTCAATATTTAGTATATATAGTTTGTTAATTATTATTATTACATTTTTACTATAGAGATTGTTAACTTAGTATATGGATTTAGGCCTAACCTGACTTATTTGTTTGGGTTTACGACCGAAAATGTCGTTAACATCTGATAAAACAATACACAAGTAAGAAAAGCGTATTTAATTAATTATAATCATAATCTGGAATATGTTTAGTTTTATTCTATATGAAAGGACAATAATTAATGCAGTTAATTAAAAAAAACTTACTAGTGCTTCTTTTGTAATTATTGCCATCTCATTATTATTTTAATAAACGTCTCCATGAAGACAAATGACGCTACCAACTTTTCTTTAACCGATCGTTTCCGGTCTCTTCATTCACGATGTAATTCTAATAGAATTAATTCATCTTTAATAGGAACCCTATATGAGAAAAGCAAAACAGTACCACTGTTTAGAATACAGGTGGCGTAGATAGCGTGGAGGGGGGGGGGTCACTTTTCATTCAGTCCCGATAAAATGCATCAAGATTAGAAAATTTCTCTCAGGAAAAGCAAATGAATGCATAGAATTTACCCAAGAAACCCAGAACTTCCAGGGCAGTCCTGAATCCCGCTTTGCTCCGTCACATAAACCTGGCCAAATTTAACTTGCCTCTAATTCCTCTATAATATCCTAAAACCGAACTTAAATTAATGTTTGTATTTAGTCAATGAAGTATGCGCGTTCTTTAAGGTTTCAAGTAAAATTATAATAATAATAAAAAAAAATAATTGCGTTTACAGCCACGTGGTTGTTCTTCTGAAACTGATCTGAGATATATATACTTAAAATTTTCATGAAAGAAAAAGACTTAAGACGAAAGGAAAGAGGAAGTTTCACGTTGTCTATTAATATACATATTTTTTTACCCAGCATTGTAGCTTCTACATTTAAAAATACGTGTTTTTCAGAAATATCCATCAAACGTTTTTCATCATTGCCTATCAAATGCTTCTCGTTGGTCAGTCATAAGTTAGAGGGCTTATAACACTAAAATTCGGCTTCGATCCCCTGCGGTTAGCATGGCACAAATGTAACTTTATGCATAACATCAAAACAAACATACCTACGCCATATTAACAACAAGCAGTTCATCTACGGTCAAGAGCAGTTGACCGTTATAATCGTATCTACTTATTTCTTGAGTGGACAAGTCATACTGTGGTCCTGAAATAGGCTCGCTCTCGATATCTATATATATATATATTCAACGTAGTTTCAAGCCGTATTGAACAAATCGATATGTTCAAGAGACTATAGCGTGTCCATTGATAAACATATTTTCTGGCAGCCGAAGTGACGTCAGCAGTTTTGTTTTGTTGTTTCAGGTGGTTGTATTAAGATTTATTATTAGACTAGCTAGAGTACCCGTTCCCTGGACGGAGCCCCCCCCCCCCCCAGTGGCACAGCGGCATGTCTGCGGACTTACAACGCTAGAATCCGGGTTTCGATACCCGTGGTGGGCAGAGCACAGATAGCCCATTGTGTAGCTTTGTGCTTAACTTCAAACAAACAAACCCTGGACGGAAGTTATATAAATTCGTGATTAATAAAATGTTATATTAGGACATGAAAAGCTGCTTCCCTTATATGTAAAAATTGTAAAAAAAAAAAAATTACCCCCCCCCACCTTATTAAAATTGCAAAACACAAAATTTGAAACCGCAAATCTGCATGTATCTCCGCATGAACCCAATGAACCTCCATACCAATTTTGGTGAAGATCCATCTACACCCTGCTAAGTAGTTATACGGACATAAACAGATAATTTCCTATTGGTATATGCCAGGTACGTAAAAAAAATTTCTGTTACATGACTCACGTGTTTTGTTTTCGCGTGCATTGTGCTTTGAAATTAAAACACGTGTTTTGTTTTATTGTTTTTGCCTTAAAGGACATTTATGCACTATTATTTCATTAAATAATTTCATTAAATCTTAATTTTAAGCAACAGCAATTCACGTTTTTTTAAAAAAAAGAAAGCTGTCAAATAGTGTTTACTTACCTAAAATGTTACAAAAACCTTACTGATAAATTAACAGTATGTTATATGTAACTTTTGGTTTTCACAAGGGATTATATGATATTTGAACTTGTTTAGAAGTAATTTTGTTGCGTTCTAAAGACCTTTGGAATAAAGTTCAATAACAAAATTTACATGTTTCTCAACATTGTAGAATAGATCATTAATAAGGTCACTTTTGCAACTTCAGATGTTCAAAATTACCTTTCTAAAATTAAAGTAAATCCAGATTACGATTTCAGTGACGAGGTGCCGTGAAACCTTGTGAATGTAGTGAGTGTCGGTATAATAAGCGTAAAGTAAAGACGTTGTGTGGGATCATCTAGCCTAGAGCCAAGTGCATAAAATTTATTATGAAAGCAAAAATATCGATTCAATTTTAAACTTAAATCATTTCTGAATTAAGCAATTTTCTGTTATATCACCAACGTTTCTAATAGGAACAAACATCTTTAATCAACGGAGACTCTAAATTAAGAAATCAACAGATATTCAGTACATAGACCAACAACAATATTAGGCTATACTTTTGTTGCTAAGTAACATGACGTAAAAGCCATTGTTGGAACGTAGTTATGAATGATCTTAATTTTGATTGGCTCACAAATGAATTTACCGACGTTTGAGTACCTCGACTGCACTTTTCTGCCTCTTCGTTGGTCAAGCTTGATTTCCTAAAATGAAGTGTGATGTTAGGGTATACTATGGGGGTGGTAGTACTTGCTCAGTCATTTTTGACGGGCCATATGATAGTATGAAATATATTTCTTCATGTACAAACTAATCTAGTTAATTGCACAAACTATACAGGGCAACATTGCTAAAGAAACAAATGGAATCCACTCGGGCAACATTAAATAGTTTTATTTTCCGTTTAGGTATTGTTTGATTTTATACTCAGATGGTTGGCACAGCGGTATGTTTCCAGACTTACAACGCTAGAATCCGGGTTTCGATACCCGTGGGGGGCAGAGCACAGATAACTCATTATGTAGCTTTGTGCTTAATTACAAACAAACAAACAGACACTCTTGAAAAGTCACCTTCACTAGCCGTTTCTATGGCGACGCTTAAGAGGAAGTAAAATTATTGTTCATTAAATTGTGTTTATGAAACACTCAACAGAGGTCACTCGAGCAAAGTAATTTCACGTGGTGGTAAACACAATTCTGTTTTCCATATACATATTTTATGGATCTGTTAGGATGCTTTACAGATTGGGTTCTGTAACTGTAGCCTGAATAAGAAAAATGTAATGAACCAGAAGCTATAACTGTTTATCAAATATTCCCCAAATAGTAATTTGTATGTTGTTCATGTCCGAGAAAATTCAAACTCCTGTGACAAAAAAATGCTTTAATGTTGAGATAATGTTTAGTTAATAGAGAAATCTTGACATGTAGCAAGTTAGAACTGGTTTAGAAATAGGGATATGTTCGATCTGGTCTATTGTTCGTTTTGTAACCCTGATGGAAGACTTTAATTATTCCGAGGGATATGTTCGATCTGGTCTATTGTTCGTTTTGTAACCCTGATGGAAGACTTTAATAATTCCGAGGGATATGTTCGATCTGGTCTATTGTTCGTTTTGTAACCCTAATGGAAGACTTTAATTATTCCGAAAGATAAAGTTTAAAATTAATATTTATCACAAATTAATTATTAAGTAACCAGTTAATAATAACCATATTTTTATATTACCTGAACAATTCCTTTCGCTTAAAATAATCCATTCCTTTTGTCAATAATTTAGTGAGCATTTTCATGTTTTTCTATTGGTTTAAGAAGCATTATTTGTGTGTTTTTTTTTTCTAGCCGGGAAAAATAATATGCGCTGTTTTGACATCGACTATTTTCCAAAAGAAGACTACAGCCCTGACCCCAACGACTCCACAATGGCTATTCCATGTAAGTTAGTAGTTAGTGAGATTTTTTTTTATTTATTCCTGTAAACTCCCAGTGGAGCATAGGGCCGCAACAACACAAAGTGTTGTTGCAGTTATTTGTGGCAGGTTGGTTTTTACGGGGTGGAGTTGCTAGCCCCACGCCCAACCCTCCTCCTTTCTCATCCTGGACTTGGGACCAGGCAAAGGCGGAGGTTGGCATGTTTGGTGTGACGGGGATTCGAATCCGCGACCCTCAGATTACGAGTCGAGCGCCCTAACCACCTGGCCATGCCGGGTCAGTTAGTGAGATTAGGCTTATATAATCAAAGACGATGTTTTCATCTGTATAATATTTAGTAAACATATTTAATGGTTATCTTCAAATTTCAAAATGAACATGACATACTTGACTCATCAACTTTGTCGAATAGCTCGTGTTAGCTAGCTGATGTTCCAATTTTGATGAACAGTAAATAGTGAAAAAAAGAAGATAAAAAAAAAACACTACAGCAGTGAAGTTAAAGGTTGGTTTGATAAATTGAACCTGAAAAACTAGTTTTAAAAAATGGTACATTTGCGAACCTTAATTGACTGCAACTGCCTTTTGAAAGACGACGTTTCGGGTTCTATACTGAGGCCTTCTGTTCAAAGAGCTGGATATGGGCGATCTGTAATTATCAAAATACTTTATTGTAGAGGTTAAAAGATAGAACTAATTTTCTTCTGAACGTTCTTTCAATTAATTTATATGTTTATATATCAACTTGAACTTATATTTATATAAGGAAATAGGAAATTATCTAGTTAATGTACAGAGCTTTTTCACAATGTTAAAAACAGTGGAAGGAACTAGTGTCCTTGTAAAATAAACGTTAAGAACAATGGAAGGAACCTAGTGTCCTTGTAAAATAAACGTTAAGAACGTGGAAGG